GAGGAGAGAGAGAGAGAGGGAAGAGAGGAGAGAGAGAGAGAGAGGAGAGAGAGAGAGAGAGAGAGAGAGAGAGAGAGAGAGATGAGAGAGAGAGAGAGAGAGAGAGAGAGAGAGAGAGAGAGAGAGAGAGAGAGAGAGAGAGAGAGAGAGAGAGAGAGAGAGAGAGAGAGAGAGAGAGAGAGAGAGAGAGAGGGAGAGAGAGAGAGAGAGAGGGAGAGAGAGAAAAGAGAATACAAACAAAACAAAAACATAACCGCGCGCTACTCCCGCTCTGGGCGTTGTTTTCCCTGGCCTCTTCCCGGCGTGTGTATATGGCAAGGCCCTATCTCCTGCTCAACATAGTCACACATCTCAATATTGCATAAAACATGATTTCGGAGAGTTGCTTGAGCGTTTCCGTTACTCAGTAGCAATGGCTAGACCATCCAGGAGTTGCATAATACGTTCAATTTCCATTAGTGACGTGGTCAAAGATTACAGGCACATCAGATCTCTGATCAACGCAGTCCAAGGTGAAAGCTGGTTTAGTGTACTGCGACCGCAAAACAGCGGGAAATAGCATGTGGTAAGCAAGATGAGCGGTACAAGATTGCCATCCGGTGCAAACATAACACACAAAATTGGGAATGGGCTCATTAGCATCAAGGTGTGCAAGCCCTTTGCAGGACGCATTTACGAAAATGTGCTTGCAGTGACATGTGTCCAAGCTTCTAGTGTTGACCTGTCGACACATCAAAGTCAAATGTTTCAAGTCCACGGGAAGGTACAAGGGAAACATGAGGGTACGCCTCCTTGGGCCCACTTGGAGCACGGCGAGAGGAAAGTGATAAGACCCTTCAAAACTGATGGGGCTGAAAAACGCTTTTGGGGTCACAATAACTTCAACGTGACTAAAATACACCATAAATGACCACGCAAAATACATAGTCATGTCGACGGGGCATGACTATGTGTGTCGACAACACATAAGTCATGTCGACGCAGCCTCGAGAACTTAGCTGAATCTTGAGTAGCGGCCTCGTTGGATCTTGTAAAAAGTCTGGGAAGGTAAATACTCCGTATCCCAAAACCCTAGATCTTTAAACCCTAAATCTGGCTCTTTTCCGGTCCCATGGGGTCCATGTTACATGCAAAAGCGTTACTGGCGGTCATGGCACAGCCCAAACATGTTCGTGAAGCCTGGCCCAAAGATGTTTCGGAGGATATCCAGCGCTTTCGGATGAGCGTAAATGCCATCCAGCTAAAGCAAGCTGACCCCTCTTTGACACATACTTTCGTTACATATGCCTTGGCATGTACCTTTTGTAACTAACTTAAGGCATATGTAACTATGTAACTACGACGGGATAGTGCTGATTAAGCACTTTCCCGTCGCGTTCCGGACGGAACCGCGACGGGATACACCATCACCATCATCATCATTCATACACCATCCGGATGCACCCCACACCCGGGGGTGCGCCACGGCCCAGACCATCGCGTGATTCGAGTCCTGGTCCGTTCAGAGGGAGTCCAAATGCCAGTTCGAGTCCAGGCGTGCGGGCTCGAACTCGAATTCGTACCATCCGTCCGTCCGCAGACCCGGACCACCAGACATCAGCCGGCGCGCTCATGCCAGTGGCGACATCAGAAGCAGACGCCCTGACACCTCGCCCATCGCTCCGCCGTAGCGCCCTGCGCGCGGCCCGACCACGCCGCATCATTGATACTGGTTCTGGGATCTGCGCGCACCACCACGCGCCACCCTCTGCGCGCTTGTAGGGGCTCTGGGCGAGAGTCGGCGCATCCGCGGTTGCCTCGGAGGTGGGCGGAGTCTAGCCGGCGAGCCTATAACAGTGCGGCGGGCGGCACCAGGTGGCAGTCACGAGCGAGAAGGCCAGCGGGGTGGTACTGCGCGCACACGAGTGTCACGTGAACCGCTGAACGGATCGCGATGAAGACGGAGATGAAGCCAAGCCGGCAGCCACCGGCCATCTTCCAGCAGAGCCGGCGGCTGCGGCGGCCGCGCTCGGCCGACACAGAGCGCATTCGAGCACTGCTCAATCGGCTGCAGAAGATCGTGCCGGCCGCTCCCAAAGACCGTCAGCTGCCGCAGGTGCAGGTCATCCAGCACGTCATCAACTACATCTGCCAGCTGCAGGACCAGGTGGTGCGGCACCCACGCCTCGGCAAGCTGGCGGCGTCCACCGAGGCAACCAAGGCCGGCGCCAGTGCCCAGCGGACCAGCTCGACTCAGGTGAGCAGCTCACTAGCTTCCAGGGTCGACCGGGTCGGGGCCATGTCAAGGTAGTCCCATTCATATCTTCGTGAAGGGTTTCTTTGCGTAGGAGTGCTTGGAAGGCGAGCGCCCCCCACGCGTGGATCTCGGCATGAAACGGGCTGTCCAGGCCCATTTGCGACAATTGAGATTGCATTATTTGTTTGTCCGGGCGAGGCCCGTCGTTTGCCTGTGCATTCTCGTTTTTGTGTAACGCTGCCACCTGTTCAGACTCTACGCTCTGGAAGTCCATAAGGTCATCGAAAGTGGAACCCAGTTTGAGTTCGACCCTTTGTCTGTTCCTGTCGATATTCCTCCGACAATTCAATACGTCTTGGTCCGTAGGGAACTCAGGTGAAGTGTGCAGCCGCAGCCAGCCGGGCTGGTCGCGTGTCCGAAGTGTGAAGTGTTTGTGTTGTCTTGTGCGCCCTGCTCACCGTGGTCTGTCTGTCTTCAGGAGCAGGTGCCGAGCACGAGGACAGAGGAGCCGGAGGACCGCGGGCCGCCGCCGTCCTAGGCCGGTCGACTGCGCTACAGCACGCCAGACAGACACCTCCAGTACAAACGGCGACGGCTCCAGCGCCAGTGCAGCAGCCTCGCGCGACCCTGCCCGGAGGCAACGTGTCGGGGTCAGAGGTCAAGAACTCGCTGAGATGCCATCTCGTCTCAGGCGCGTCCCGGATCACCGCGAACGCCCGGGGACGGCACGCGCACACGCTGAACGTTCCGGGCGACACGCCAAGCCGCCGGCAATAGCTCAACCGGACACGCCTTGTTCAGCCACTGAACCAGCGGACACCTGCGGCCTCGCACTGCAGACAATGCGGAGAGAGTGCGGAAGGAAGAAAGAGCGCGGGCGTGAACGTGCGTGAGCTCGGCAGGCTGAGGACTCGGCGCTGTGCCAAGCGCGGGACGACGTTGGCCGTGGGAGGAATCACCGCCTGGTTCACGTCTTGTACAAATACTGTATATGGTTACGTTTAATTTGTTGGAATATTTTCAGTTGCCTGTGATCTTATTTGCCTGTGATATGTTCTTATAGAGATGATTATCGAATAAAGTGCGTCCGTTTACTGTTGGCGTGTGAGCGATCGGCGCCGCGACCTTCCCGGACCTGTCATCCATGCGACAGGTGTCGTTCGGTAACGATTCCGAGAAGATAGCTGCCTTCCGTGGGCAGCGTTCGAAATCGCAGGTATGCACTTAGGCACAGCGGCCCCCGCCGCCCCCGTGTACCTCGGACCGTGCTAATGGCTTCGGCCTGTTTGGCGTGTGTTTTATAAATGATGGTCACGATTCTGGGGCGGCGGTAATCTGATGGCGGTACCCGTGGCGGCGCCGGCGCCCCCGCCGTCGGTGCCATTACACCGACGCTGGCGCTGGCGCTGGCGCCGTGATGCCCCGCCAGCGCTGGCGCCAAGGCTCCGGTAATGGCGGCCGGTGCCGTGCGGGAGTGTCCGGCCGGCCCATCGGAGTGTCCGGCCGGCCCATCGGAGTGTCCGGCCGGCCCATCGGAGTGTCCGGCCGGCTCATCGGAGTGTCCTGGGGTGCGCAGCCGGCTTGTCAGAGTGCGCATTCGGTGGGGAGCTACGAAACGCAGCGAACGCCAGGGGAGGCAGATGCTATTTGGGAGGACTGCTTTGGTGACGTGACCATACTTCCGCCCAGCCCTGGAAAGTGACGCGCCTGGGAAACATTTGTCCCACCTGGAAAAAAACACATGTCGCATGAAATTTCATTAGGATTGGGTAGGCCGGAATGCACATTGCACAGTGAAAGATTGTGTAATCTGGGGAAATCCACAGCCTGTACATCACGTGACCGGCCATACTTGGAAAATTCGTGGAGCGGCGATCAGGCCCACCGCTGTGGAAGACGGCCGGGCCCCACCGGCAGCCCAGACCCAGCTCGGGTTCCGCCCGTCCCACGCTGGGGTCAGCGACCGACTTGGGCCCACCTGCCGGGGCATCTGCTGCACCGACGTCTGGAGCGGGGGTGTCAGGATGGCCAGCGGGCATCACGCGACAACAACGGCTATCGTCCGGCCGGGCCCGGCCTGGTCCGGTCACCATTACCACCGGCCGGTGTGAGAAGCTGCTGGAACAGCTGCTGGAGCACGGCACGGCTCGGCTGAGGGAAGCGGCCCCTGCTGGAGAATGGGTGGCAGTAGTCAACGCGGCTGATGTCGGCGGGCCTCAGAACAAAGTCGCGTCTACGAGGGTGTCGTTCAGTCTTAATCCGCACAGCTAACAGTTGTCTATGATTTCTCATGGGCTCTCAGCAACGGCTTATAGTGCCCACGTGATATTTGTTCGACTCGGACAGTCATACGAACCGGTTTAGACTACAGAACTACAGTCAGTCCATGCGCCTACTTCGAAACCCGGGTCCCCAAACGGAAACGACAGTTCGAAGGTGCTGTTTACGATTCATAAACGTTTATGAGACGCTGACTCAGATGCCGATTATTAGCCTGTAAAATTACCCTATCAAATGCGTCGTGGATGGCATGGCTATCTTTGATCTGTAGGACAGGAGCGAGCGTAGCTGGGTGCACTCCACAATCCTGATGGCGCAGAAAAACGGGCGAAGGTGAGCAAACCACGGATGAAAGATTTGTTTGTGCCACCGTCCTCGCCTGACGTGTTAGCATGCACCCAAGGTATAGATCATTCAACTTTCCGACCGTCGTCAGAGAGTGAAATGCTCTGCAATCATAGGTGCAAGGGTGTTCCTTCCGGTAGATATAAGTAAAGCGTATGTTATGATTGGCAAAGCCATGGATTTATGCGTGTGGAGGAATGTGTGTCGGTCGTCACCATAGTCAGTTGCAGAAATACAAGGAAATAAGCTAAGTCGTTTATTGCTTTTCACATGAATATATATAATGCGTTTGCCATCGAAAGCCTGCGGTGAAGACCACTCCGATAAACTTAAATGATGAGAGCTGAGGGATGGTGTGGTTGGCTAGCCGCAAATCAGATGCATGACGCATGCGAATATTGTTGTTTTGTAATGACTACCACGGCTGATTTCTGGGTCCAAAATATGAAATTATTTTTGCAGGCTCACCTTTTGATGAAATCAACGTTTTCTGAGGGCCAGGAACAGTGTTCAGGATTAAAAGCTCCGCTCCATAAAGGAAAATCATCAGTGAAAAATTAATAAGATATATCTGGAATAACATCACATAGCATGCACGACGTTGATTGAAAAGGACTGGTGATAAATAACTCCCTTGGGAAGGCCACTCTCGAGAACATGTGGGAAGCATGAAGATGAGCGGCACCGTACCCGGTAAGAGCAAAGAGCAAAAAAAAAAAAGACTAGGACAGAGCTAGCCAAATGACCTGTGAAACCTAGCTTGTGTAGTAAAAATATCAGCTCCGGCCTAAAAACAATGTCATATGTACTGCATAGGTCCAGGAAAACCACCGCAGTGCTTTGTTTGTTTTTGAACCTTTTGCGAACATCAGTCTCAAGTCGGTACTTAGAGGTCTGCAGTGCTTGGATTTTCTTGGAAGTCACATTGAACTTTCAAATACATCTCCTTGCCCTTCATAACACAAACAAGCTCCTGATTATTTCTTCAAGCATGTTTTCTGGCCAGCTGGTGAGCGCTTTGGATGACACAAGGTTGAACTCTTAGAATCTTTTCCCGGTTTGGTTAAGGATATCACCACTGCCATGCTTCAGGTAACATACGTTTAGTCCATAAATCATTCAACGCTTAGGAAATAACCGCACCAATGTTTTAGACTAACAACGAAGGAAAATAATAATGCATCTTGTCTAACCCTTCTGACGTGTTACCAGCTGCGAAAGCGGTCGTCTGCAACTCTGAGACTTTGAATAGGCCGAAAGACATTTCACTGTTATCAGACAAGAAAACATTTTTTTGTGAGGCGTGAAGACACGGCGAAACCATTGTAACTGTGCGATGAACTACGGTGCGCAAACCTTTCATTGAGTCTTCAGCATGGCGTTTGGATCCGTCATCAGTGTATTGTTTATCTTAAAAGGAGGACGACTGTGTAACTTTCGCTCCCCGGAGAGGGACAGGACTAGTCCCCACATTTTGCGAAGAGCGGTTTGGTGAGTAACTTGAATAACAAAGATTGTCATGAGCGACGTTTGGTTTTTGGTACAAGTCGTTTTGCGCGCGCTCTTTCTTCGTTTCGTAATAGCTGTTGGGGATATCTAGATTCAAAAGCCTCTAAGAACTTGTTTTCTTCGAGTCAAAGCTTGGGCTACTTCTGAGCTGCACCAGGGGATACCATGCGGCGGTGGCGTTGACATTGACGTTGGTGACGAAGCTGTGGCAATAGCAGAGTTGTAATAAGACGATGTTTTACATGTAAGACAATTATGCCAGGTGATGTGTTGGGCAAATTAAGTGTGTAATGTACAGATAGGTTTCTAATATAAACAGCACATTGTTTTCGTGATTGAAATTGGTTATTGTCCGCGGCACATGTCTGAAATGCTGTTTGGCTTACCGTGGGCAAATTTCATCGTAGATAACCATCAGGAAATGAATCATGTGTAATAGAAAGTGTTCAACTTAGTTTAAGTGGATAGGGGTAACTGTCACGAACAGAAAGTCAACTGGCCAGTCAAAGAGCACCGCTTGCAACGGGGCTTAAATAACGATCGATACCTGTTTCTTTGTCATGAGGTAACGAAAAACGCGTAAAGCCTTCTATGCTAAGTATGATAAAATAGTGTGCATCAAAAAAATCCTCTGCTATGCAGCCTCATCGATGAGATGCACGATAGCTTCCATTCTATATTAGTTTATTTACATCAAAATCCCCGAGCAAAATGAAACGATTTAGAAATTGCGCAACTAATTGATGTATGGATCCGAGATTTCGAGGTTGTATATCGATGGTATATCGATGGTATATCGATTGAGCACATGTCAATGTTTCGCTATTTAACCTTACCGTGCTGCCCAACGGCTGCGTGAGGCTGTTGAAAGCGATATGCATTGTTAAAATAATTATTTTAATATAGTGTTGTACGACCAGTACGACAGCCACTTTCACCATATCATAGCGATGCAACGAATGATTTAGAAGCGTTAAGTTGTAGGGATCGGTAACTGATCACCATGTTTCTTATACTGCGTTAGAGTACTAGGTATGACAAACTCTTTTGCTTCAGACCAGTCTGATGCAGAGTCCACGGCGATTCAGTTGAAGAAAGCTATGTACATTCCACTGGGCCCGCCTCAACCGGGTAAGGGGAATCGGCCTCACGAGACAGGCGGTTCTTGGCACATCGACACCCTCACTGCCAGGCAGGAACAGACATGCCCTTCGTCCGCACGTGATGTGGCAGGCGTGTAGGGGAAGTGGCTGGATTGTTCGAAGTCCGGCCGGCTGTCCCAGCTGTGGACCGCCTCAAGCTCGAGGGCAAGGATGGCGGACGGCTTGACCGGCCCGCGGACCATCCACTGCCGGAGGGCAGGGGCGCCGACCAGCCTAGGGGCGGGAGCGCACGGACGGCTGGCTGTCCGAACGCCTGACGAGGGCACTCGACGACCCGAGGGCACTCGCCACCTGGGTCTGCGTGTCCCGCTCCAGGAGGCAGACTTTCGGGGGCAGAACATGTTCTGGGAAGGAAACTGGGGAAAAGAATTGGTCGGTGTATCATATGCTGCTACCTCGACTTTTGTTGTCTGCGCATGTGCTTTGTTGGACGGCGAGACCATTTTTGATTTGACAGTACGCCGTGCCTGGGGATGAGATGCACCCGCCGTTGCCATGATAGCGCAGACCTCCTTCTCTTGCTCGCACACAGGACATTTTGTAAGCTGGTACCGTGTCCTGAATCACCATAATTCAAACGGCCGGTGCTGTACAGGCAGAGCCGTCATGTGGAGCCACATCGTATCTTTGTTACTGAGCGTTCAATCTCCGCGTTTTCCTCTCGTGACCTAGTCGTTGACAGTTGTAGGAGCGCGGCGGGTTCGGATGAGAACTCGAACAGATTGGCGAAGATGGCCGGCAAGGAGACTTTCAGGGACGTGATTTGTTTGGAATGCGAAAACGGGCTTATATCACGCC